TCCACGTAATGTGCGTGTGGAGTTCGGCGATAGTGCACTTGTGTGTAGCCGCTAGGTGGTTCATCCATCCCTGCGCTCCTCCAATCAGCTGCAGATATAGTGCCTTCAACATATCGTCTGCCGAGACCATGCGGCATGATGCTTCCGTGAGGAAGCGTTGCCACCATGACAAGGCGTCCGACTTGTTGTAGTCGTCGAATTTGCTGATGTCGAAGTGCGGCATCTTGAACGTCTTCGTAGCGGGTTCCGGTCTCGTCTGTAGCTTGGTGAGGTCCGTCTTGATGGCGGCCACCGTGCTGCTGATCGAGTCTGGTCCAGTGAACGTACTTATGTCGCCGATGATGGTGACGACGTGATCGATGCGCTCGTTGAGTTGCTTCGTCACGTCTGTCGTGCAGCCTGGCACTGCTGAGGTGTTAGCCTCTATGCTGTTGACGCGTGTGATAGTGGAATTCAACAGTTGCTGCTGTTGCTGCTGCTGTATTGCCTCTGTGCGGATAGCAGTTGTTAACGTAGTGATATCATTCTTGTATGTTTGTCGCTGCGTCGCGTCCGTGCGCAGATGTGACTGCAGCAGTGTATTATTCCACATAATACCTCTCATCATGCCCAACAGCAAGTTAGCCAGGTTACTTCTCTCTGCCTCCGCCGGTGTTGGGTCTGCCTGCGCTTCTGTAGGCACAAAGATCATGTCTTGGAGGATCGTCGTCCACTGATGCTCACAAGCAATCAAGGACTCCGTGCTGCTGGCATTCCGTCTGTCTCGTGTCGCTGCGTCAGTCTCAGTCGTTCGCTGAGCTTCAGCTGCCGCTTCATTGGCTAGYCGCTGACGTTCTGCCTCTGCTATCTCCTTCTGGGCCTCGACAGCAGCTACGGCTTCTGAAAATGCCAGTAGCCGCCCACGATAATCAGCCGCGGGCTCATTGGCTCCTCGGACTGGGTATGCGGGATGATCTCCGGTGGCGTCTTGTACCGTCAATGCCGTACTTGATGTTGCTGGAGTCGTCCGTCTGCTGAGTTTCTTCGGTCTTGGAGGTACTGCAGGGCGGGCACGAACTGCGATTCTGGCACTGCGTCGTGGCAGTGCCCCGGTGTCTTGTCTCGTCGACATCAGTCTAAACTGATGCGGTACTTGAGAAGTCCCGGTAATCACAGAACAAGGGGGGTAGGGAGAGTGGGAACAGGGGTAGAACAATCAAGCAATATACATACAATCCCCTGTCCCACTGATGGACTGTAGACACCTAATCAAACGAAAAAAATAATTTTCCCGTAAACCCTTCGAAAAATTTGTAATAAGGAATTGATAACGATTTAATCAATTAATTAATGATAATTAACGAAATAAATCCGAATGATAATCCGTAAACAATGTTTGTAATGAAGATAACCAATTAATGATAATCAGTAGAACAATGTTTGTAAATAAAGATGACCAATTAATAAACCAATTTGAAAGGTATTATGATTAGGTCTCTTTGAGATCACTATGAGACCGGGAGTTCTCCGAATAAGTGAACTGCCCGGTAGTTGCAATTTAAGGTCAGATACGGCTTAGTGTGCTTTAAAAAAAAAATTCGGAAAATTTCAGAAGAAAAACGCTCGAATTATTAAAAATGCGAATTTGAAGGGAATTTCCACCCTCAAAATCCGATTTTTAAAAGCCTAAACCTATTTTCGGAATTTCTCAAACAAGGAGAACGAAAAAAAAAAAAAAAATCGCGAAAATTTCGGTCCCAACCCTAATTTCCGCTTTTCGGCGAAATTTCCGGATTTACGGCCCCAAAACGTTCGGGTTTCCCCAAGTTGATCTAAAACCAAAAGATTTTCATAACCCTAATTCCCATACTGAAAGACAACGGAAATCTCAACAGAAAACGAAATATAGGATTTACAACAGAATGCCGAAAACGGAATGCTAAATGACCATCAGAAAAACCCGAATTTCAAACATGATACTGATTCAACCCTAATTACGAATACTTAGTCAGAAATCCGAATCAAACAGAATGTTGGATTAATATCAATCTCTCGGATCTCATTGAACAGCATACCGTGTATACCAGAAATCCGAATAAAGTCCGAATACTGAATTGAAACGGAAATGTCGAAATAGCGAGAATACCGAAAAGAAAAATTTGCAACTTTGAACTTGATAATACTTCAGCGTCGATTTAGAAGATCAAACGTGATAACCTAATTCCTAACGGTCTTACCTGGTGAGCAGATCCGTTTTGGTCTGCTCCGATACCAAAACTGTAACATACTTCGATGAGTATGGGCAGAACCAAAGATCAACCAATATAGGATGAGCATTTATGCAGCGGAAGTCTGATAACGAACTGACTCACATAGACTGACCTACATGGCATCACTCCACACACATACAATCATGAGATGGTGGGGTCTGGGTCATGCATAGACGATACCCAGATCCCGTACATACATGCACAGATGAAAGGTGGGAGGAGAGACGAGGGAGGTAGGAGGTAGATCACACCGATAGGTCACAAGATAGAGTCTGATAGGTCTCCGAATATGGTAGTCCAGAATGTCATATAACAAGATCAAAATGTCGAGGACCAAAGGTCACCAATGTCGGAGATAACAGAGTCCAGATGTAACCGGTGTCCAACAGCCGAGTATCAACCTCAACAATCTCCAAGTCTCCAATCAGGTAAGTACCATAGTCTCGTGTCACCGAAATCCAACCCTGGTCTCTGTCCAACTGGATAGTCTCCAATCTGAAGAAGAAGAAGAAGAAGAAGAAGAAGAAGGAGGAGGAGGAGGAAGAGGAGAGAGAGAGAGAGGGGACTGGCGAGGGAGAGGAGGAGAGACCCTCCAAGCTCCCGGTACCTCAGGCGGCAATGGCCGCCGTGCTGGCTCAGTCGCCCTGCTGCTGCTCCGCTCGCTGCTGCGCTATGCTGCGCTCCTGCTTCAGCCCCTGCGCTAAGTTTAGCGCAAAACAACAGTACACTGGTACTGACCATGCCGTGCCGGTAGAGTTCCGGTAGGCCGATCCCTCAACTGAGGCGGATACCGGTACTTATACCGGTAGGSAATGGTCTGRCCTCAATGCTGCGAGGCCAGGCCAGACCCTGGACCGTCCAGATGGACGGTTCAGCCTCAATCGGCGGGCGGCAGCTTCAAGAGCGCCGCCAGGCCCAAACGAAGTGTCGTTTGGGCCTACCCGAT